CATTCTTTCTGTAAGACTTAATATTTCTGTTGCAAGAACTTCAGACAATAAGCGTGGATCTGCTCCTTTTGCTTGCAGTCTACATCATTGTTTTTAGAAGCTATAATCACACTGCAAGCATGTAGGTTTGAAAGCTGTCTCTGATGATTTTCCAAAGATCCTGCTGTTGTCCTGGGGAGTCAGATATGTGAAACCAGCATGGAGCCTCAGGGAATGGTGACAATGTGACCTGGATGCCTTTCTAAAAGACTGCTTGTAGCACATCCAGGAATAAGGACTGGTGCAAGAATTACTTGGTAAATTTTTTTGGCTTGTCACATAGAAGGTCAGATTGGATGCTTATTATTGGCTTTTTGAGCCTTAACAAAACACCTGTCTTACTATTTGTCTACGGTCTCTGACAGCAAGAAATGCCAGGAGGATATTTTGAGAGGGAAAGCAGACACGTAATTATGGAGGAAGAAACATGTACCTATTTCCAATAAACACACAAAGTTTAACTAGTTGTCTGAAGTTTATCTGGAATCTAAACCTCTCAGAAGTTTGCAAATATTCTGTGTTCTGGAGGGAATATTTTTCCTGATCTCTAATGTCATCACCATTATAGCTCAGTTTACAGATGAGGTAGCTTTCTTTGTGCCTATAGCCAACTCAGAAGCCAGGAGATATGGAACAAGGTGAAAAAGGTTTGTAAACATATGCTAGAGTTCCTTTCACCTAATTTTAGGCTAAAGCATGGTGGCTAAAGCTAAACTAGTTTCCCCTTCTAATTGAGGGACAAAATACATGGCTTGGCCCAAATTGTGGAGGTCTTCCTTCACACAAATGAAAATGTGACAACTCTTTTATCAGAGAAACAGCAGTCTTGATGGTTTGAGTTCTGTATTTGGGGGAAAAACAATAAAAATGTCTCTTGAAAAGAAGTATTTTATCTTCATTTGCTCTTTAAACAAAGTGTATGTCCTGAAGTTATTTTCTGAATATAATAAGTTGACATAAAGTTATGGATAGATACAAAAAATTAAAAAAATTAAAAAAATAAAAATAAAAATTTACAATCACATTCAGATGCTGTCAGACGCAATGGGAGCTTCTTACAATTTTCTTTAGGTGTTTTGGATGCTATTTGCTGGATTCTCCAAGAATCTGCAGGCCAATTCTGCAGTGATTAGCTAGGCTAGAGTTCTTTCCCTTTTCTATTTTTATTCATTTATTTATTATAGCAACAATTAGTTAACCTAAAGAAAATCTGAACACTGAAGTAGTCAAACCTTTACTTTACTTTCTAAAAGTTCTGTAAAACAAGTGATCTGATAAGCAAAACTTTCTTTTTTTTTTTTTTAAATATTATTTTTTATTTTGTAATTGCACTTGATAACTTCAAGCTGACAACCTTATCTTAACTTTTGTTACCAAGAAGGACAAGTAGTCCTTGAAAGAATTAATGAACACTTTAATATTATAGCAAAAAGGTGTTATATTCAAAATCCTATTTATGGGGAAAAAAAAAAAAATTATAGCTATCTATTTATAAAATCAAGGATTTTTTGTTAGTATAACTGAAATCTTAAGAGTGCTATCATTATTAATTCAGATCTAGTATTATAGAAAAAGAACATTATAATATTATAGAAAAAGACACTCAGTTTTTATCTCTTTTCCTGGTGTTATATAAACCCTTCTACTACTTCTCAGAGCTGCAATGCCTCTGGTTTCATTCTATTTGTGGTAGGGCGCTGAATACTAAGATTCCTTTTCCAGTACTGAGAGGGAGTCCTTTGTTTCTTGCTGTCATTTATATAGCAGTATTGGTTGTCCCACAAAAAGATAAACAGAAGTGAAACCTAATATTTATAGGCACCTGATGACTTGGAGGAATTGGTGTTACAATTAAACCAAGTGAGACAGCTGCAGGTCAAAAACAGATGAAGCCTTAAAGGCCTCAGACATGTGCTCTTGGAAACTCAGTGCAAAGCCTGAGGTCTGTTACTAGCAATTGTAATATGGTATTACAATTGTAATATGGTATTACATCATCAGTCACTTTTGGTGATAGCCTTCTTTTTTAAAAAACAATGAAACTTTAAACACAAACCTCACTATATCTTCTTGGACATAGTGGAATTATGTTGGTAAAGGGGAGCAGATTTTCTAATAAAATCCTAATCATACATGATTAATTTGTGTAGAATATTTTAGGCACTCTACAGCTGCCTATCCTACTTGTAGATTAAGCTGGTTATTCATTGTTGAGACAAATATTCATGCCTGGTTTCTGCTTCAAAAAGCTTATGATCGAAGTTTAGATACATGACATGAAAATGAGAAGTGACAAGTGAACAAAAGAAACAGCAGGAGAAAGAGGGAGCACAAAAGGATAAGCTTTGCAGAATTACCATAGTTTCTTGAAGGCATGTTTGATCTCACCTAAATTTAGTCATCAAAGTTACATGTCTAGTTTCAGCAAATAGAAGACCATTTTTGCATGTGGTCAAAGGAATTAACTGTATGCTTTCAGAAGATGATTTAATAGAGAAATATATCTTAAAGTGTGTGAATGACTTTCTGAATGTCACTATCTCTGTCCACCAACAAGTGAAAAACATTTGGCTTGTCCTACTCACCTAACTTCTAGTTCGTAAAGTATTATTCTACAAATCTTTCATAGACCTTAAGGCTAGCAAAGAAATGATGATGAAGTAAGAAGGCAATGATAATGAATTACTTTAGTGAAAGATCATGGAGTTTCATTTTGTCCTGTAAAGCATTTTAGCAGTGTTTTAAAGAGTGACAGAGGTTGTTCCTATTTGCTTCTCTTAATACACTTAACTTTAGGACACTGTCTGCCATGTCTTTTCTATGGTGAGATTTGTCTTGCTTCAAAACAGAGTTCAGTGAGGAAGCTCTCACCCAAGTTCAGCCTTTAGCTTGGACAGATTAAATATACAGAAAGTCTCATGCTTCTGAGTCACTCAGTGGCTTCCCAGCCACTCTACAAAGTTATTTAGTAAAAGGTTAAAGAAAGTTTTACCTTAAATGCATTAACATCTAGTGGTAAACAACACTAGAGCCTTGGTACAATGTGCATTTTCAGACTTTACATGCCACAACAGCTCTAACTCTTGTATACACCCAGCTGAAGTTTACATATTATTCAGCTTTTACAAGATAAACAGTAAGCGTGGCATTGCAGGAAATCTTGAAAATTAAGCGAAAATTAAGCTTCTGCTTGTTTCTGTGTTGAATTAAATCTGATTCTACATGCAGAGGAAGAATGTGATAGATGCCAAAAACTAAATTTTGATTGTACTCCTAGCCCCTTTGTTAGAAGTAATTACTTACTTAATATATGGAAATGTTTTACTTTGTATAGACATTTTGGCATGAAAAAAAAAATCTTGTTTTTGTCAGGGAGTTTGCAAGATAATTTATGATTAGGAAGAAAAATATTAGGAGCCATTTCAGAACACTTATTTTAGTTGCCAAACAGACTCTACAGCACTTAGAAAGCAGACATCAGACCAGTAATTCCAAATACTTGACTAACAAATTTACTTCCTTCTATTTACTAGGTAAGAAGTTAGGACACTTCTGTGACCCTGAACAATGTAGAGGAAGATAGTTAAGGCTTGGGAGTGTCTGAACCAGAGGGTGAATTAAGCCTTCCCAGTGGGCACCCACCCAGTTTTCAGAAGGCTATACATCTTTTTCCAAGACTGGATATTGTGAGGGAAAAAAAGAGGTCTGGGACTGAAACTGGATTTATGTAGTCTGAATAAGTTCTATAGTGACTTTAGAATGGAGAAATGTCTTCCAACATAAGGCTTTGCAGCTAAAACATCTTTCTTCTGTAAATGTCACCTATCTTTAGTCTGTAAATTACACCTACATCATCTGTAAGGTTAGGTTTTAAAATGGACAGATTTAACACTCCTTTCTAACAGAGAGAGTTTACAGTCATCTAAAGTACAACATCTTTTTTGTTTTGTTTTGTTTTGTTTATGGTACAATGAAAAATGGAGGTATGAAGCAGTATTTCATCAACAGCCTTTACACAAAACATGTAGTTGAATTAAACATAATTGCTAGAAAATCTTTTTTTTCGGTATACAGAATTCAAAAGCAAACCTGTCCCCTCTCAAGTGATACCCAAATGCCTCCACAAACATGTAGTCTATACACTAGTAATTGCACACATTGAGACACTATCTTCAGCCTCTCTGATATTTTTCACTCTGTATACATGTGTATGGACATGTACATGTGGCTCTTACCAGCCTACCTATAGGAACTGAATATTAAAATATGCTGGACAAAAATCAACCTGAGGTCCACATCTGCACCCTAGCACATAGAGTACAAATGCAGAGACATTTGACAAAACACACATATAAACTTTGCTCTGTGTATTCAACATAGATTCATATTGCATAAGTGTGCTCAAGGAGCACAGACTATAGATTATTTAAAATGAGCAGAATTGTAAGACAAATTCCTCCTCACCTTAGATTCCTAAAGGACATGCAATACTAGAAAGGAGGAACAAACTTATGGAAAAAGGAGTGGAAGTAACTAATTTCTTGCTTGGATCATGGTTCCACAAAGTTTGTGAAAAGGAAAATATTTTTGGTAAGCCAAAAAAAAAAAAAAGCCATATAGTTTTGTTTGATATTTTTGAATATTTGTAAAATATTGTCCTGGTTTCAGTTAGAACAAAATTAATTTTCTTCCTAGCAGCTAGTGGAATGCTGTGTTTTGGCTTAGGATGAGAAGAGTGCTGATAACACCTCGATGCTTTAATTGTTGCAGAGCAGTGCTTATACCAAGCCAAGGACATCTCAGCCTTTTGCTCTGTCCTGCCAACAGGCAGGCTGGGGGTGCAGTAAGAGCTGGGAGGGGACAGACCCAGGACAGCTGACCCAAACTAGCCAAAGGGGTATTCCATACCATCTGACGTCATGCTAAACAATATATAGGGGTGGCTAGCCGGGGGGAGGGGGCCGGACTGCTCGGGGTTAGGCTGGGCATCGGTCAGCGAGTGGTGAGCAATTGCATTGTGCATCACTTGTTTGTACATATTATTATTACTTTCCTATTATCACCATGGTATTATTATTGTTATTATTGTTATTATTGTTATTATTATTTTGTTATTATTATTTTCCTGTCTTATTAAACTGTCTTTATCTCAACTTACGGGCTTCACTTTCCATTTCTCTCCCCCGTCCCAGAGAGGGAGGGGGGAGGGTGAGCGAACGGCTGCGTGGTGTTTAGCTGACGGCCGGGTTAAACCACGACAAATATTCAAATATATTTTAATGTCAAATAAGTGTTTTTATCCACTTTTTTGGAGTTTTCAAAACAGAATTTAAAAAAGGAAATTTGGAACTAATTTTATTTGACTAAACTTTTTGAAATAGAAAATTCAAATGTTTTATCTATAAAAATAGATCACGATAAAGGTTTTGAATTTTTCTAAACAAAACAAATCAAAAGAAAGCAACAACAACTACCAAAACAACAAACAGCAAGAAAGTTTAAATGAAATAAGGTCTACACAGTTTGCTGCTAACAGTCTGAATCTTTTTCTTAATGTATGAAGTGAGAAAGTTCACTAAGGTTTAATCAGCAGGCTTCTCGGTCATACCTGTTGTACATTGATGTCCCCCTCTTAACAGGACTTGATTTGCTCTCCTGGGTTTTCTTCAAATGTTATTAACTTACATCAAATCAATGTGGATTAGAATTCTGCTCTTGAAAAATTGCAATAGCATATTCAGATCAGCTTCCATAGCACATTTCACTCAGTGATCCTATTTCTTTCAGAGAAGTGTAGAGAAGTTGTGATTTTAAATTCTGCAGAGAACAAAGTGCCAACACATAGGAATATAGCTGGAAATGTTCAGATTAAACTGTTTTTTATTTGAGAACATTGATATATCAACTTTAAAATTCTCATAATATTTCATTCATGCAATTTTTCCCAATTTTGAACAGAAGGTGTATTCACAGACATTCTTTGACATATTAGATCCCATTTCTTAGTTTTGGGTTACAAGGGTTCTGGGTTTGATCTGTTTAGGGAGGCAAAAAATAAAACATTATTGTTTTCCTTGCTCCAGGTTGCAAGAAAAATATTTGAAGTTTGGAAGAAGTCTGTCTGTACCCCTGGATATATAGTTCTATTCAGATCTAGAATGTTGGGCCCCAGCTCTGCCTGCATCTATTTTCTGAGCTTCAGTATTTTCTACTCTATGGCTCAAGTTTCTCATTTGTAGGATAGGAATAAGTATCCTTTTCTGGTTATACAGAAGATGTAATTACAACTTAATGAAAACTGACAGAATTGCCAATTTCAGCTGCATATAACTTAAAAGGAGAACTGGAATTGTTAATTTCTCATCAAGAAAAAAAGCTGGTTTAGTACATTATGATACATTTGAAACATTTCAACTGACTTTTTATCATATGTATTATGATCTAGTATGGTATGGAATAGTACTGTATGGTATGTTATGCAATATTAAAACACAGAAATGGAAAGTAATTTCAGAAGAAAGAGCCAAAGAAGAAAGAAATAGCTATTTCAACAATGTCAAAATGTAGTATTTTGAATTGTGAGAGCTTTTATTCCATTTTTCTTCAGAACAATATTATATTGAAGCTGACCCAATTTTGTAAAGTGTTTCATTTCTGAGTGAACTGTGCATTCCTGATGGGAATATGGTTTTGTCAAAGCCTCTTCTACTTCCCTGAAAAGTGCTGTGAAATCTAAGAGCGAAAAGTGCTATATAAAGACCAAGAATTACTATAATGGGTCTGATCCCAACCAGGCTAAAGATGGATGACAGCTCAGGTAACTTGCTCTTCTCCCTTTACAGAACTATGAAAGTACTAACCATGTTCATGTTTCTTGATTTCGTTAGGAAGGCTACAAAGATCTGGTCTTGAATCCTATATCAAACGATACTAAAGAAACATGTGAGCAGCATTAAGTAAGGAATGCATGTATCTTATGGCTTTATGTTTTGTGGTAATAAAGTAAGAACATTGACTGCAGTATTTCCTGTTACTGGGGCACAACTTGCTCCTTTTTCCCATGTGTTATTACTCTTAAGAATACATTTCATGATCTTAGCCCTTAGGAGATGATATGAATTAATATGATGTTTTTTTTTTAGTTTGTTTGTTTGTTTGTTTTTTCCCCCTCATCATTATTTTTATTGAATATATTAAAGCTTAATAGTTATAAAATTATGCTCTATTAGTTGTGCACAAGACTGAGTAACGGGTTCACAAGCTGTTGAAGAGAGAGTGCTGACACATAGATAAACAGAAAAACATGCACACATTGAAAGAAATGTAATGACAGAATGTTGTTTTATCGGGTTCATTTACTTAGAAAACCTAACTAAAATATACACAGAGAAACAATTCTGCATGCAGAATAAGTCTTAAAGATTAGAATGGATGAATTTTCCAACATCTAACATGCAAGTTAAACCAAGCCATACACCAAACTGATACTCAAAGAAAGACTGAAAGAATAAAACTTTTTCAGTTAAAGTTGCATGAGAAATTTTTGTGTGTGATTGGAATAAGGGGTATTTGGATCAATACTTGAGTGAGAGCCTGGGTCATCTGCTGCAAAGCCATTCCCTGTATGCTTAAAGTAAACACTTGACTCTGCCAGAAAAGGATCTGTATTCTAGGAAGCCAAAGTATAATCTCACAGGGTGAAGCATCATGAAAAATCCAGTAGTTATGAATGAGTGACACTAGCAAGGATAAAACAACAGGGGACCTCAACCCTCCTGCTTCAGGGCATGAATTGCTTAAGAAAGATGAAAGGCATTCTCACCCCTTTTTCCCTGAAGTATAATGCTGAACAATTGGTTCTTCTGGCTGCATGTCAGAGTCTGTTGCTCTCAAGTATCAAACACTGACCATCATTGACGAGAGGGCAGTATGAGAGTGGGACCCTTGGGTGCTAATTCTTGTTTGCACACAAAAGCAATACATGCAGGCAGATGAATGCCTCAAAGCTGGAAAAAAAATATATAAAAAAAATAGCATGGCTTCTTGGGAGAGCTAGAGGTTGAAACATGCAGATCCCTGTGCCTCTAGGTTAAATAAAGTTTTGTCATCCTCAGCCTCTGAAGTGATTAAATTTTTCCCAGTATCATTACAAAATGGAATTAGCAGCAATTCATGGAGCCACAGTAGCCTGGGGGTGGTTTCAGCGGATACAGCGACACAGTTCTAATAACAAAGGCTGAAAATGACATGTCACAATTACTGTTGGTGCTGCTGTTGATTTACGTCAATGCAACAGTTCCATGGCAGTCATCATTCAGTTTTATGCTGATTTCTTGGCATGTATTTCTGGATATGTAAATATTACCAAGGCACTGGGATGTGTTGGTGGGTCACAGAGACAGATCATCATTTTGTGAAGGAAATAATACAGTGAAATTGGACATTAGAAGAAGGTTTCTGATAATCAACCTTCAAGCAAGAGAAGTAAGGATAGAAACAAATAACAACAACAAAACAAAACAAAACAAAAACAAAAACACCACAATCAAAACCGCATAATCCGTGTTCATTTTTAAATGAAAAGTAAACCTATTGTAAAGAAACTGTGTAATGTAATGTAATGTAATATTTTCAATGAAGAAATAACACTTGATGATTCTGAGACCTCTTCCAGTCTCTGTGTTTACAAGAAATACACTCCTCACTTTCATTATTACTCTGTTGAATAGGATTAGTCATTCCTCTTTTCTTAGCTGGCATTCCTCTTTTTTTTTTTTTTTTTTTTTTTTTTTTGAAATTATTAGAAGTTGAGCTGATTCTTCCTGGCCTTTTTTTTTTTTTTTTTTCTGATTGGTATTCCAAAAACATAAAATCCATCAGATTTAGTGTAAGTTACAACAATATATTTTTAACCTAATTCAAAGTCAAGTTCACAGTGATCCTGAAATGAACTTCATCTAATCTTTTGTTTTAGAATCAACACAGACACTGATTATTTCATTTCCCCTGTAGAAGGTAAACACTCAGTCATTAAAACAGATAAAAAAGATTTACATGGGATGGAAATTTAGCATTGTTAGACAAAATATTTTCTCTGTGTGCCTCAATATCATGCCAGTTTTTCCAGCCAAAATGGAGTTTGCTAGAAAATTTGCTATGGTTTTTCTTGTTTGTTTGTTTGTTTTGTATCTTCCAAGTGGAACATGATGTTCCACAGAAAGAGTTTCTGAGTGTATAATGTGAAGCCTACAATGTATAGCCGTGCCAAGAGGCTCACGTGTGAAATATCTGTTCCAGGACATATAATTATGCATACAAAATTATAATGTGAAATTATAATTATTATCACATAAAAATTATATGTGATATTAATGTCATTACTGCATGTTGAAATTCTCTCAGAAGATATCATGTCTAAGTTAGCAATACTGAGAATGGACCAGATGAGGTTCTTTGATATGAGTTCTCTTCTCAAAATGTATTTTAGAATCTATCTTTTCAGTTTGATCTAGTACCTATTCTAGTACAAACCACACCTTTCTTATTTAGACTCACAAAATATCTAACTGGTACACAGTTAAAATATGGATATGTGTCTTCATTCACTTTCTCTGCTTCATTTAACAACATTCTTCTTACTACCTCCCCACCTCAGCTCTGAATTTAAACTTAGTTGGCTAAGTGCTACAAAAACAGGAGCTTTAAGATTCTTCCTGAGACCCTGTGCAACCTCTCAACTCCAATGTTATAATTGTCTGAGCACTTAGAGATATTTTTTCTTTGCAGCTTTCTTTGGCTGACATAAAAGTTGACAAGCCTGGTGACACAATGGCTATTATTTCAAGTAGTTTCTAAACAATATCATTTTTGTGCTTTCAATAAAATTATAGGTTTCTTTATTTTTTATGAAACAATGGCTCTCAGCTTCCATGCTATATTTCCTGGGCAAATTTCTGATGAGACTGCAAAGATTAATGCAATTATTGTTGTTGATGTCAATGTAAGCATTCGTATGCTGAAATCTCCATTCATGGTGTCACTTGTGAGGACAGAGTTATAAACACCTTCTTGTTACTTAGTCTGCCTATCTAAACCAAATAAATAGATAAATAGAAATACAAACACAATGAAACAAAATAAGCTGCTAATTCAAAATGCATCCAGATAAATAAGAGGAATATTTATAGAAATGCACTGGTGAGAGATCAGCTGTGAATGTGAACAAGGAGCTGATAAATTCTCATTACCTGCTTGGGGCTGACAACTGAAATGACCTGCTAGGCATCTGCTGGAAATTCAATCAGGTACCTGCAAATAGCAGACATCCACTGCAAAAATCCAACATGTGTAGAGTTTCACTTAGTGTTTAGGTGTTCCATTCCTGTGCAGTCAGGAGTGGAGGAGGCCTGTCAAAATTTCAAGCTTGTCTAAGGCACAAGGAAATTTAAAAGGCTTTGCTGTATCCCTTTTCCTTCCTACTTCATCCTATTGTGAGATTTCTGTGTCTTTGTTTCTAATAAACAAATCAAAACTTACCCATGTTTTATCGGATTTTGTTTTTAATGTCCTTTAGCTCCAGCCAAAAAGAGAGCTTATGATTATAGGGCAGGAAGATATTGGCTCCATTCAAATAAGTTTGAAAATGGCTAAATGGTTAAATGGGTAAGAAGTGATAACTATGGTGCTAATAGACAAGATATTTTAGGTTAACTCAAGAATTTTGTTCTGGCTCCCTCAATGTTAAAAGGATTACCTTTCCAGTTGGAGCTCTCTCTCCAGCCTTCAGTTTATGTTCTGAAATCCCCAGAACCTTTTACTGAAACTCCTTAATATTCTTCTTTCCCATTCAAAAAAACTTAACCCAGCCTCCTAATTAACTTACATCTGACATCTAAATGGTGGTGTTTTTTGTTTTGTTTTGTTTTAATTATTATTTTTGTAATTGTTTTTGTTGTTGTTGCTGTTGTTTTGTATTTATTTATTTATTTATTTATTTATTTATTTATTTATTTATTTTTAATAGGCTTCTTTTGGGGAGAGAGAAGGACTATGAGGACTATTATAATGTGAGGCTGCATCCATCTAGGTGTTCAGAAGATCCCAAAAGAATGGTGGGCCATCACCCTGAAAAGAGAAGGAGAGGCCGAGTTTACACTTCTGTAACCTCAAAAATGAATTCAATTAAGAGAGTATTACTGTAATTCACACAGCAATTTGGACAGCTACTAACACTTGTGCGAGGAAGATAAAGGTCAAACTAGACAAAGCTGCTGAGAATCCCCAGAAATGACGTAAGAAAGTGAGAACTTACTTTAAGAAATTAATTTGACTCATTTAGATCAGCAATATGAAGGCAGAATGGAAAAAAATATATATATATGTTCCACATTAAAGAAATAAACACTTATAGTTGTTCACTCAGTTTTACTAATGTCTTTAAACAAAGGCATTTAATAAAACTGACTAACCAAAAATACATCTGCTGGAAGTTAAAAAAAATAAAAATAAAATTGCTAAATATCAGTGAACAGCTATTCTGGAAAAGTCTTCCAGCAGGCATAGTGAGTGCAGATTACATAGGTAATCTGAGATTTTGTAGCTGTTTTTTGCTTTCTGGCTTTTGTTTTAAGAATAATTGTGACCAGTTTGTTAATGACATTATACATAACTTATCTTCCCATGACAACAGGGGACGGAATCCTGTGATAAAATTCCATTCCCATCTTACATGTTCCTAGATAGTGATATATACCATTAAAACCAACAACCAAGAAACCCAAACATCTCTTTGATAGAATGCCTAAATGCATACCTGTTATGAAATGGTTGATACACTCAGAAATTTTGCAGGTGAGACATATCCAAATATACACAATTAACAACACTGCAGGTACTTTCCACATGATAAAACCAACTACATATAGCAGAACCTTGAGCTCATTCAGGCAAGGAAAATGGCTCTTATGAATTTTATTTGATTTTTCTGCTCCAGATCCTTACTCTTGAACATATCTTAATAATTCAGTCGAACAACAGATTTGTCTGTGTAAGACTGGTAAAGTGTTCTTTTCTACTAAGCAGTCATTAGGCTGCCTGCCCTAATGTCTATGATACAGATGTAGAATTCAAGGAACTTGGGTTTTATTATGTCATTAATTCAATGCAAGATTTTTGAACAAGTCACTCTCTTACAATAAGAACTTTCATAATTTTGTGTTATTCTATGAAAAAGGTGGATCATAGTTGTCATGTGCATCCAGCTACTGTTTCCTTTGAGAAGTTCAGGTTTGTCTCCATTGGATATAACAGGAGCTTAGACTGCTGGTCAGACTTACACATCTAACTTTCAAACACTTCGGTTAGATCAATATTTCTTGGAAATATATAATATTTCCAAGATTATAAAATTATATTTGCATTTAGAGGTGGAAATTCATATCCTCAAAATCTTCAGTGCCTTCTCCCCCACCCTCTCCCTCCACCCCACCCCCTCCGGATTTCAGTGTGAAAATACTGTCTAATTTGAGAGAGAAATAACATACATAACATTCAGAAATTCAAACAAACAAGGAAAAATCCCTAGAAAAGTTCAAAATAAATCAGAGCAATCCAAGGTCAAGCAGTCTAGCTGGAATATCATCAGGTAAAATGAGTAATCTATAATATCACAAACTACAGATATGGAGGAATTCTTGTGTTTTGATTGAATTATTGGCCTTAATTTTAAACTGCAGACAGGTAGGTGTATGTATAATTTTAAATGATTCTTTTGCTGTTAGGATGCTGCTGCTACTCCAACAGATTTGTTTTCTTTTAGACTCTTTTTTTTTTTCCCTAACATCATTGTACAATCTAAATACAGTTTACTGTTGGATTACACACTTACTGTTCCCAGAAAGGGTGCATGCATGTTGCAGCATTTGGTGTTAATGCTGGTTCAACACTACCTGAGTCTGTTTCCATATCCTAGTATCCCAACAGTCCCTAAAGAATAAAAATCTTCAGACATAAGTTTTTCAAACATACTAGAGCCTTTGTCTGTTTATGTTTCTTAATGGAGAAGATAGGCTAGAGATAGTGGGAGAGCAAATATTTCTTTTCAGGTAGCCTGCCCTTGTAGGTTAAAATTAAGGCTGTTCAAATTGCTGCTAACATCAACCTGCTTTGTAATTAAATTTATAGCATGATCTTATTTCATATATCAGCCAAAAAAAAAAAAAAAGTCTGAAAATTTAGAACAAGTCAAGATCCCTTCTGTTTTGTTCTTCTCCAGTCTTCATGTACTGCCTAGAATAATTAAGTTCCTGAAAGTTTTTGTTGAATGGAGTGGAAAAAGTGTAATGCTTGGGACAAAATTTAATTCCTTTAGGAGATCTTTTCCATGGAAAAATACAGATTATTTCTGCATTTGAGTTTCTCTTACATGCAGTCAAATCTCAAGGATACAAAAAGAAGCAAACAAACAAGATCCGTCAGCATTTTCTTTAACTTTAAATCACTGTAGTCATTTTATAAGCAACACCTTTGACTAGCTCAGACTCATATCAGAAATCTGAGCAAAGCGAAATGATTTCAAAGAATTTCCCTAACTCCAGAAAGAAAAAACATTTTTCTAGCTGTAAATTTGGTAACAGGATGACAGTAAAACTGAGATTCTAAAAGCCTGACTGAAGAGAATAGAACACCTGTTTCAGTCCCCATACCAAAAAGGATAAGAAATTGTAATATCAAGAGACATATTTAAAGCTTGTGTTTTTTTTCAGTTCCTTTCCATGATGTTGGACTTGCCCTCCCTGAAAAACCCTGAAGATTATGTAGTTTATGAGGGTGGCTCAAGTATAATAAAGAAGACGCAAGTTGAGGACGTAAAGTGTTAGGTATCCTTGAGGAGTGGATGGGCTTGAGTGCTCTGCAAGGATTGATGAAGTTGAATTATTATTATAAGCACTTGTACAACATAGGGACTGGATGAGTAAAGGTAGAGAAACAAAACCAACAAACTACACACAAACAAAAGTGAAATTAAAATGCAATTATTGCAAGAAATTTCCTAACACTTAATAATTGTAGATACATATGTAACATATGCTAAAAACAAAACAAACAAACAAAATCTCCATCATGTCAGATAATCCTGATACATCCTTCAGATTTCGTCCTTCAGATTCTGACTTAACATCTTTTAAAAATCAGTGCTGGCCCACCAAATTATACAGTGACCCACCTTCCATAAATGCTTCTTTAACCCTTTGCAGCTTGAGTCTATACTGTGTGTCCCACTGCACAACATTTAATGGGTGTCAACAGACACTAGCTAATGTAGGGCAATTTCACGAAGCCATTTCACAAAGACATATAAAATATATCTAGATTATAGATAAAAATATGTTTTTATTTATATATAAATAAATAATGTACTCAATATTTTACAAATACATATAAATCTATATGTAGTTTATATATTAATACATATTTATCTATATTTCTTTCTTGTGTCTGAGTGCATAAGTGTTTATATACATATAAGGGCGGGGGGGATATGAGCATAGAGGAGGAAATATATAAATTTAGGAAAAAACAGACCTAATTCTATTTGTTAACAGATAAATGCATTCTATGAAATGGAAAGCCCATCATTTCTGTCAGAAACACAGCCATGCAATAACTGTAAGATTTTCTACCTATTTCTACCCATTTCTACCTATAATTTCCCATCTCTCTTTTACTCCCCAATTTGAGCTGTTTGACCAATGATTCATACCTTTTTGATGCTTTTTATTACTTATGTTTCAGAGGAAGAGGCAGAGGAAGAGACCCACCATTCACAATGACTTTGATTATTAACACATGTACCTCTGAAGATAATATTCCAAGTTGCATGTTATGGGAGGGGAACATAGGACTACATTGTCAGGGTCAGCAATGAAAACAAATTTATACCATTACTTTGTCTAACTGTTTTGGCTGTTGCTACAAGACAACAAAACATCTAACGCAGAAAAATATCTGTCTCTCCAAACCTGTCATTACCCTTTAGGTAGGCTTCTGCAGACCAGTGCAAACTCTTCTCAAGTGACCTCCAGAGATTAGTTTGGACTTTAAGTCATATTAAACATGGCTCCATGGCATTCTTTCTGCAGCTGGCTCATGTTTGACAAAACCAGTGTACATAAAGCTCAATTTTTTTTTTCTCTGAGATCATTCAGAGTGTATTTGTATATACATGGCATACAAACTCAGGTTAACATACCCACAAATTCTGGGAACCAATAGCTTATTCAGATTCCTAAAAGATAATAAATGTACCACTACTGGAATGTAAGATGCCTTGAAGTGATAAATGAGCACTCATGGTCATATATAAGTAAAATGATTTGGGGTACCTCATGTTTAGTCTAATGATCTATAAGGCTTTCATATCTTCCATAATTCTGACCATCTTCCTCTTCATTAATCCTCATAATATCTGTTTTATTAAAGCTTATCTCAGAGAATAACATCACATCACATCTTTGTCACAGCTCATGTTCCCAATGTGTCTTTACTAGGGTGTTCAGTACAAATATCAGTACTTTATCTTTCCCAAAGTTATTTGTCAAAAGAGCCAAAGATATATTTAGAGTAATATGTCATTCATCGTCACTGCTAGCCATGAACAGTGCCAAGGAGCTCTTATCCTCAGCTTATCAACAAGTGGGGGAAGCCTTAGCATTGCACAGAGCATCAGATCATTCCACAACAATAGCAGCTCTGTATGCATAAGGTCCTGCATGCCATAATAAGGCCTGACAGCTTCAGAACAGCACACACTTCTGCTGGCTAAATATGTCAGAAACCTAAAAGGAAATTGCCACCAAAAAAAAAAGAAAAAAGAAAAAACAAAACAAAACAAACAAACAACAACAACAAAAAAAAAACAACAATAAAAAAAACAACAAAAGAAAACAAAACAAAAACAAACAAAAAACTTTGGAAAGCACTTTTAAATATATATATATATATATATATATATAATAAATTGTTCAAATAGTGTAGTTTTATTAATACATATATATATATACAATAATATATAATATATAATAATAATATATATAATATATATTTTATTAATTATAGTTTTATTAATACATTTATATATATATAAATGTATATATATACAATATAGTATTGTATATAATATATATATATATAATATTATATATATTATTATTATATATATATATATTATATATTATTGTGTATATATATATATATATATATATATATATAAATGTATTAATAAAACTACACTATTTGAACAGACAATGCCAGGTAGGTTGAAAATGAGGACAAGTGAATGAAAGAAGAGGGAGGCAAGTATATGAGAATGATACAACGCCCATTACAGCTAATTGGATCCCAGTTTATGGTGTGCTTAACTTATTTAACCAACCTAGATCTCTTCAGAAGGAAAAGTTCACACTGAGGAAAATCAAAGCCAAAAGAACAATTGTCCTCACTCACAGTCCAAAGTTTGAGAGTCCATTTGTCACAGTTCACCCCTTCTCTGTGCGTGCTCATGTCATCATGAATTAATGCAGGCCTACATATGAAAATCAATGTTTCCTACAGATATAAACACTGCAGATCTGAATCAATCCCTCAAAGCCAAAGAGGGTTAAATATTTAAAGAAGCTATGTATTGAAATGCATTTTTAATGCCATGAAGTCATTCTGATGAAAGATTACTCAAGAGCCTTCATTACTGAGTTTAGAGAGTAATGTGGTATTATTGGAACAGATGGCACAGCTGTGAGCAGTCTCAGCCTCAGCCCTCCCCCCCGGGGTAAATCCAAGTGCCACTCCTGTGCAAAGTCATCTGCTGTCAGCCAATGGACTGAATGGATGGATGGCTGCAAATAGCTTGCATATTCATACATGACAGCCAGGACAGCTAAAGTCTTTAAGAACAGGCTCCTTAAAGAGAACAGTGCCTTCTGTAATCCCTTGTTTCCTATGTGCAGTGGAAAGCGAGGAGGGGAAGAGGAAAGCAATGCCATGAGCATTAAGAATGAACTTGCTGTGCTGCTCTGTGACTTAATTGCTAGGATTATGTGGTATCATTATGTCAACTGCAATTGTCTCTGTTAATTTCAAACTGGCATCTCTTCCACCTCCCCCCTCCTCCCCTCCCTGTTTTTCTACTCTCGCTCTTATTGAGTGAGTGAGTAGGTGTTGAGAGAGAGTGGCAAAGAGAAGGGAGAACCATCCGGACAAATTTTGATGATTATTAATTAAACAAAAAACAAAGGAAGAAACAGGAGAATGTGAAGGCAGGGTCTGTGCTGTCAGAATCCAAGAAGGGATTAGCTGCATGGCTATTAACACTGTCACAGCTGCAGGAAAGAGCAGCCTCACACCTCAGGAGAGTACTTCTGGAGCTTACCCTTGCATTGAGTTTTCAGCTGGATAAAGGCACAGAGAATGCCCATTTATGATTAAGGCCCTGGCTCCTAGATTTACATGATAGTGTCAGATTCATCACATTCCCTATTGTCCAAGTTTTAAATACTGCATAAAAAGAGAGTGTACAGGCCCTCAAATTGGCTTTGCACTAATGGATTTATTTATTTATTTATTTATTTTCCCATGGAATAACATAGTTTATCTTTGCACTCCTTTACCCACCTAGCAAATAAACTAAATTTTCTGAAAGGTTAATATTATTGCTATTTAACATCATTCTGTCATGCTAGATGGTATTTTGGAACAGAAGCCAGAATCCAGATTAAAGAAGTATCTTTGGGGAACACCTGCTGGAGAACCTGCAGTCTTGTAGACTCCATCAAAGCATCCTTCCATAGATCTGAGCATCTTTTGTGAGCTGAAGTACTTGAGGGAAAATGTCCAGGATGGTATTAATATGTTAATTTTTAATTCTATAAACTAGAAGTAGAGATACAGAGCACTTAGTGATACCCGTTATGTTTTATAGTTCCTCCAGAGGTTTTCTTTCTGACCTTAAAAATCTCTCTCATTTTTTGAATAGGGTTTCCGTCACTTTAGTGAACCTCCTCTTTCAGCATTGAAGTCTTGCCTTGAGTAAAAGTCGCCAGGACTGTATTCAATATTCTAGAGAAGATAACATAAATGACTTGTATAACAGCATTAGCTTTTCTTTCCCGCTATTACAGACACCTATTTCACATCTATTAGGACTGCATTTACTTTTTCCATAGCCATGTGGATGCTTTAAAGTCAAGCTGTAATCAAATAAGACAAGCAAGTCTTCTTTCGCTTCCTTTGGACTTTACCAAATAAATAAATTCCCAACTTTTTCTAAGGTTACATTTTCTTAATCCTTCAGCATGCAATCTTTGATCTGTTGTTGTTTCTATTACTTCAGTTTCTGAGATCATCTCTTTCTTTCTGTATATCATGACTTTTGCTTTGACATTCTGTCTAAATTGTGTTTCACATATCACTAGGAAATTTCTTTATCTTGCTCATGATACATATAGAACATCAAACAAAGCAGCAAACAGACACACAGACACACACACACACAAAAATAACAAACAAACAACAACAAAAAAACCTTTAAAATCCATAAATTAAGATTTCAGTAATATCAGACAAGTAAATAAAGCATCAAATGAGGTCCAGAGAGAGAAAAAGAGGTATCATAAGAAAAAGGATTAGCTTAATTTACATTCTATGATTCTCTAAGTAGTCATAAATAGCAGTAGATTTTAGAATCCAATATAGATAGATACC